TCTGAGTGCCTTTTTCCATATATTGCAGCTCCAAATCTCAGAATAATATAGTGTATGGAGTTTGGGAGATCCCAAAGGACCATTAGGATACAAAATGTCAACAATTTTTTTTTTGAAATTTCATCGTTTTAGTACTGAGGTAGCTCATGATTTAGATTTTGTAAAACTTTGAAACGTCATAACCAAGGTTGCCAGGTCTCATGATTTTTCATGAGATCTTATGATTTGGACACATTTTTCATGATTCCATGATTTTCAACAAAAATCTCATGATTTTTGGCGCAATAGGCATACTCCGGTAATTCTATTATTTTCATTTAAAATTCAAACTTTGTGTTGTGATATTTTAACATTATCACATTCAAGCGCTTGTGTAGAATGAATATTTTCTATAATTTATGGGTTTGTTCGCACAGAAATTACAAATTAGCCAGAGCGAATTTCATTGGTTGAAAACAGTGACACTCTGACTAGTTCGTGATTTCTGTGCGAACAGACCTATATATAAATAAATGCAGGAAATGCGTTAACTTTATGACGGGTATTATAAAAAAAAAAATTAACAGAATAACTAAAAGTTAACTTCTGGAATGACGTGACGCCTAATATAGGAAGTAGGTACCTACCTATCAGGTAATTTTTGTGTTTTGAGGTTTTTATTTTATTCTTTTTGTTATATTTTATGTTTTGTGTTGTATTTTTCAGATAAAAGTAATTTTTTTATCAAATAAAAATCCATATTATTAAAATAGATGCATTTTTATGTCGATATCCGATAAAATTAGTCATCTCATGATTTTTACTGAGAATTTCATACATCTGTCAAAACTGGTATTCCAACAATAAATTGACATGTTTTGATTGTTGATTTGAACCAATCAGATTGTAATTACGCGATAATTTGCACTAGTGCAAATTATCAGATAATTGCATACTAACTGCATACTAACTCGTGCAATGGAAATATATTTATAATTTTCGACAAATTTGCACTCATGCGTTTTTAACTGAAAAAGGCACTCGTGTACTACGTGCACTCGTGCTCTTTTTCAACTAAAAATGCGTTCGGGCAAATTTCCCAAAAATTATCAATAATTTCCATTGCACTAGTTATATTACTATTGATAATCTCATGATTTTTGCTGCATTTTCTTATGAATAATTTTTTTTCGACCTAGCAACCCTGGTCATAACTTTTTTTCTATTATATAGAAAGCTGAAATTTTCAGCGATTCTTATTCCAGTAGAGGACTACAATCCCTGCAAATTTCAGCTCATTTGGACTTATGGTTCCAGAAATAAAATCGTGTTAAACAATTTGGGGTGGTTTATCAATTTTTCAATTTTCCTGAGTGCCTTTTTTCATAGATTCCGGCTTCAAATCTCAGAATAATTTAGTGTATGGAGTTTGAGAGATCCCGAAGGACCATTAGGACACAAAATCTCAACAATTTTTGTTTTGAAATTTCATTGTTTTTAGTACTGAGGTTACGCAACAAATTCATTTTTGCAGCTTACGTTGAAGAGATACAGAGAAAAAATTAAATTAATCTTCAATTCTCAGGTGTCCTGTGTCCTGGATTGAAGTCGCTCTCCTTTTTTGAAGCAGAAGTTTGAAGTCAAAGCATTTCCAATCGAGTCCGTGTTCATAAAACTGTCTTCATTATTCATTGACAAAAAGCGGAAATTGTCGGTTCGAGAAGGGCGTTACGGAATACAAAAAAAAAACCCTCCCATTTTCGATCCGATATGCAAGTTGAATAAAATGATGGGGAGCAATAAGTCGAAAAATATACACGCGTTAAAGCTCGATAAGAAAAGCCACCAGCATATTTACATACTTTGTTTGGGGCCTTTGGGGGTTTTGGTGCGAGCAAGATTTATTTGCCCGAAATATAAAAGTTTTGATAGAGATAAAAATTTAATTAAAACGTAAATTTTCCAAAGACAATGCTGTTAAATTAACGTTTGAAATTTAACGTACCAATGGGAGCTATTTTGGCCTATTGTATGTATACAGATTAGGGCGAGAGATTATTGGAAATAATTTTTATTGCTTGTTGGTTTAGCTGCAAAATAATGCCATTGTAGCAATTTCGACCAATAATCAATTTGGTAATATTTTAAGTTTGAAATGTTAAGAACCTTATACAGTCAATTTTTTATATTTTTTTTTATAAAAAGTGCGAGATTCCATTATTAAATTAATATGTGTTAATATATCCTCGTTGAAAAAAAATGACTTTGCCAAAAAGATTAAGTAATGTATTAGGGTACTCAGCTGCTAAAGGAAAATATGATTTATTTTAGCAATCTCTAAAAAAGCTGTCAAGATCATCCAGATCCATATCAATGATTACTGAAAGTGTCTCTGACATCAGGAGACCTCTATAAATTTCAATTTACCACTTTTTTATCAAAAAAGTTTGATTATTTCAATGCTTTTATATTTAAAAGAAGTGAATCCCCCCCATTAAACTTCCCGATTTTGGTATTTAATAGTATATTACAATCCGAGACGGAAAATACTTCATTGCTGGTCGAGAGGTTATTATAGTTTATCGAGACGCGAAGCGTCGAGATAAACTCAACCTCGAGACAGAAATGAAGTTTTCCGTCGAGGTTTGTATACTTTTTTATTTTCAACCCTTAATTTTCTGATGCAAAAACTAAAGATTCTGTTATACGAAATTTTCATATAGTGTAAAACTGGCCTTAGAAAAAAATATTTCACTTTTTTTGTCAATGTCATCAATTTTGACGATCTCAAAGGCCCTGTAAAGGCCAAAACAAAAGACGAAACCACAGGAAACCGCAAAATCAACAACCATAGATAAGATCAACAACGCCTTAACGACGGTAGTTTTCGCTCAGTATTTTTGCGGAAATAATAGATTTTCACTAGATTTCTCCCCGTTCTCCCCAAAGAAATGATTTCGGAAAGTGAAGATGAAGCGATGGATTGTACCCCACCTGAATTAAAAGAAGCAGCAGACAGGATTGGAGAGAGTTTGCTTCCAGCAAAAAGCAAATTTCGGTACGAAAAGGCTTTTCAAATATTCGAAGCATGGTGTAGCCAGAAAGGAACGAGAAATACTGCCTCGGAGACCGTTTTGTTGGCGTATTTTGGCGAATTATCTAAGGAAAAGAAGCCTTCGACTTTATGGTCGACTTACAGTATGTTGAAAACCATGATTAAATTGAAAGAGAAAGTTGATATCTCCAATTACGCAAAACTTATAGCTTTTTTGAAGCGGCAAAATCTGGGCTTTCAGCCGAAAAAGTCGAGCGTTTTTTCCAGAGAAAACATTAACGAGTTCCTCACGAAGGCAGCTGAAGAATTCATTAGCATCAAGGTAGGTTTTCAAAAAATATACAAAGAAGATAAAAATGCGAAAATCAAAATGATTTTCTGTATGCTATAGCTAGGTTACCCATTTTATTTTTATCTGGTTTCAGGTAGCGCTAATTGTTGGTGTGTCGGGTGCATGTAGGAGCGATGAACTAGTCAAGATGAAAATGGAGCACGTCAACGTTTTGGAAGGAAAGATCGCTATAGAAATTCCACACACAAAAACTTACACAAGTCGATCGTTTATCATAAGCGATCCAGATTGGGTTGCTATTTTCCACAAATACCTCACTTTGCGGAAAAATTTGAAAAATGACAGGTTATTTGTTCAATGGCGAAATGGGAAATTACATAACCAAGCAATTGGCTATCATTCAATCTCAAAATTTCCACATAAAATAGCTGCTTTTTTGAAGCTTCCAAAAATTGAAACTTTTACAGGGCATGCTTTTCGTCGTACTTCCGCAACCTTATTGGTTGACAACGGGGCCGATCTATTGCAACTCAAAAGACTGGGAGGGTGGAAATCGAGCACGGTTGCTGAAGGCTACATAGAGGCATCTTTGGAGAACAAAAGTAAGACTGCTCTGATGCTATCCTCTACTTCCAAAGGTATTCAGTTGTCCAGTGCATCCACAAGTACATCACATGCGGAAACTCATCCGCAAGCGCAAGAGATAATAGTTCCAAACGAAACACAATTCCAACAGGATGGTCTCAAGATTTCCATTATAAACAACAATGCTAATTTAACAATTAATGTAAATAAGTGAATAGATTTAATTAGTTCCATGTAATACATGTGGTTTTATTATTATATGTGAGAGCTGTATGAAAATTATCAATTTGGAACGAGCAGGGAAATGGGGACGGAAAAGCATTTGCCGTCCCGGACGGAAAATGCTTTTCCGTCCTAGGCAGGCATATGCATTACCGTCCCGATAAATGTCAAAGTCCAGAAATGTGACACTTTCAAGATTTTGAAAAACCTGCAATGTCAACATTACATATGTGGTTGAAAATAAAAACCATTACAAAACATGTTTGTCAATATAATCCCTCATAAAACACGTTCAACAACATTTGCGATAAGTTTGTCACACGAAACGCAATAAAAATAATCCAGATTTTATCCGAAAACCATCGATTGGTCTATTTATTTGAAAATCCCTAATCGGATTTGTTCTGGCAGCCCTGGCAGTAATTCATGTAACAAAAGCTGAGAGAAATTCGGTTTGAGAGCCGTTTATACTTTTGTTTTTAGAAATAATTTTGCTTTCGAGTCAATATTTCAACTTTTATGAATTACGACTTTAGTTAATGGGATCTAAAGTCTGTTTTTTTTTAAAGATAAAAGTCGAAGTGACATTATGTTGGCAATACAATGTAAAATTGTCAATGCTTTCAAATTTTTTATGTAGAAAAGGCTTGTGTTGCCAACATAGTTACTAAATTTTTGACTTGGGGAATTATCTTTAAAAAAAAAAAAGATTTTAATAACAACTTTGACTGAAAAGTTTTTATACAAATACAGTTTGAAACTACGATTTATCTAGAAAAATACAGGCAAGCTTAATGCGAAAATCGGATGCTCAAAACGAGAAAATCGAAATCGTTTTAACCCCGATGCGAATTTCATTCGAAATGAATGGAAATTGCGACATTAAGCCAAATCGGTAGTTCGGTATCGGTTTGTCAATAGAAATTGACCCACTAATTTTTACTGTTATATCTTTTGCTTTTTTTTTACAGATACTCTAGGCCTGAAAAATGTTACATTATACATAGAACCTAGTATAGTGCAACAAGGAGGCAGCTCAACGCTACGCTGTACGTTCGATTTAGAAAAAGACAAATTGTATTCTGTAAAATGGTACCGGGGAAGTTATGAGTTTTACAGATACGATATGACGGAGCCTCCAGAGACCAAAAGTTTTCCTATCCAGGGATTTACCTTTGACGTAAGTATTTTCTTATACAATAATAATTGAACTAAAGAGTTTCCTGGCAATTTTATTAAGCACCCTCGAGGTAAATGAAATTCCAAGCCAGTTTAAAAGTTGTTTCTATTTTATTTTACCGGTAAAATATTTCCGCTACTATATTATGCAAATTTTAAGGCAGATTAATTAAATTCATTAAAGTTTCGTGCTCGAGGCAAACGATCCATTGGGATTCTAAATAAGCAGCTGAAAAAAACTTCAACTTCAAATTATCGTTTAAAGTTGATTGCAAATAGTATAAACATCAAAATGCTTTTAGTCTAACTCTAACCTATATTATCGGCAAACCGTGCGTTGGCTCTGTAATGATTAACAAACATTAATCTGCGCACAGGAATTGGAAAACAAATATTGGCCATTACATAGAAGTGAAATAAAGTACATTGTTATTATATCTGCAATAGTTTTGGCTTTTGATATGATGTCCTAAATAAATTATTGTTATAAACCCGCCACTCGTACTGTAACTACAGTTAAAGAAGCCAGAAAATTCGACTATTTTCAAGATGAACTGAATCACGAAAATTCGAGCGTGTTAGAGAAGGACGCACATAACTATAAAAGTCCCGGTGCGCACCGCGTAATCATCAGTTCTGATTGACGTACGACAAGTTGTTGCGCACAAAATTTAACCCTTAAACTGTTTGAATAAAGAATTTGAATTAATAAACCCTAATAGGCCTAGGTACACTAAGACACTTTTAAGGAATGCGGCCAGCGCAACAAAGTGCTCGCGGCTACTCAGTGGTGGGGGAGTAGGTTCAATATTTAAAGTTAGCTTAATAGGGCGCCACTGGTTTACAAAATACAATCCGCGGACTTAAACCAGAAAGTCCCTGAGCTCCAAAATTCCTATAAAAATATACCTACCCGATGTACCTATCCTATAACTTTACCTTAGTTTGGTTGAGGTCAGTAGGGGTAAAATAAGAGTCAAATCTAAAAACAATTATTATAAATCTATTTAATAAAATGGGGGGGTATGTTTAGAACTGCAAAGGCCAATATAAGGCAATATATAAAATGCAACAATATATAATATTATTAACTGTAAATGTCAAAATTACCTACCTTTTGGTAAGGACCAAGTTGTATTGGTCTTATAAAAGGCACTCTAATAAATTCAATATTTACCAATGAAATGTTTAACCACCCTACTTCAATGGAAATAAGAAGAGAACAAATAATTAAATAAGATGTTGATAATATTAATTAAAACCTGTGCACGCTTATACCATGGTATACCGGGGCGGGTTTGTACAAAATGTCACCTCAAATATAGTGCATTAAAAATCATTGGTACTAATAATTAAGACAGTAAAACAACCTTGGAAATATGCCAAGTAAGATATAAGAAATACCATCAATAATAATAAAAAAACTAATTGAAGAAATGTTAATAAATTAACGGGTACATCACCCCCTTGTAGTCATCTCTGCAGTTTAAACACCCATTTACATAACTGCCTCCTGATAGCCTCACAGCCCTGACAACAGACCCATTAACTTCCATAGACTTCCCTTCTTAAATAGGGTAACTTTCGATTCCAAGTTCAGTGTTGTATGTACTCTGACACCCCAACTTCGAGACCAGTAAACCGTCAAAAAGGAAAACCCAATGGTAAAGGTAAAAATCTAATCTAAAAACCTAAAAACCCTGAAAGAGTAGAGAAAATAAGCCTTAGAACTCCTTCATACTTATAAATTGAAAAATCCCAACCCCAAATAGTACATAAATTATTGGAATTAAAATAGCAAAATCCCCTAAAACCTGTAGGTTATCTTAAACAAAAAAAAAAACCTTAATTAATAAGCCCATTAATGCCCCTTTTGGAAACGATTAATAAGTTTTTTACTGACAAATCGCCTCGTGGAGGTCAAATTGCCGCTTTTTTTTGAATCCCAAATATTTACAAAAATACAGATAAGCTAATCTAAATATTGATAACGAAAAGGTAAATTTGAGAATGATAAAAACGTTTAAATTTATCTGGTTACAATTTGGGCTAGTTGAACAAAACGTGCTCGATCCTCATACGACAAACCAACAAAATGGCGTAGATTCTTGTCTCCAGAAAATTCCGAGTGGCTGGCTACAAATACGGGGATTTACGACCAAAATCCAAGCTTCACCCCAAAACCAATTAAGCCAGCAACCACTTGAGTTTCCAGTGCCTTCAAAATCCCACAAAAAGGTGGATGTTCCAAGGAACGTAGCAAGGAAGGACCGTTGGTAAAATCTGCCAAGGAACTTGTTGTTTGCTCAACGTGCAAATTTAAAAGAGAACGATTCCTTTTCAGCGATTAATTACCGAATTCATTCGAAATCTTCAGTTACGTTAAGGCAAAATTTGAACGTAACAAAGTGCACTAAACTGAAAGTCAGGAACTAAATAACCACGTTCGGAAATAATCGTGCCGTATAAGCTTTATTTGGAGTAGTTCCGAGTGTAAAGTAGTGTTACATTTCGTGTGATTTTTACGTTATTGTGTTTGATAAAATGCGTTAAAGTTCGAAAAAGTAGTCTCAGTTATCTGCGAACCCGTATAAGTAACATTATCATCAGTATTGGATCAAACGTCAGTCTCATCAAATAACTAGGCTAATTGCAAAATTCCCATCAGATAAAAGCATTAATTAGTAAAATCATTGCCTAATTCTCAACATTTCTTTCTAAAAGAAGTTGTTTGCCAAAAAAAGTGTAACGACCGACGCCTGATGTCGCATTAATTAGTCTTTAAGCTTCTGGTTTTGCATAAAGTGGTAAGTTGCTTTTAGTACAAGGTGAATATTTTTGCATTTTTCAGGGTGTTAGTGTCAGGACCTTTTTTTGCATATGAAATCTTCTGGTGGATTATATTAGGAAACCCCAAATTGCGAAATTAAAACGAACCCGGTTGATTTAGAAACGGAAATATAAATTGAACTGTAACTGAATAAATGTAAATATTTTTCCATAAACCCCGTTCCATTACTTACCCTAATAAATATCATCCGACAAACTAAGTTTATAGAGTTCGAAGCAAAAAAAACTTCCTCGTATTTGAAGTTAAAATATCGAGGGAAATGGTAAAAGGCAAAGTTGTTGTTTACCTCTAAATAATTGCCATCGCGAGAACAAGAAGCAGATAGATTTGATCTGCGCTAAGACTTGAAAACATTCAGTGCCAAACAAAAGAATTGGCTCTAGTTCAAAAACACTCTGGCCATGTTTCTTCGAAACCGTATGTTTGGCAACAAAAGCGACATTTTGAAAAAAAAAAAGAGGCATTGCGAAGTTACTTAAAACTTCAAAAGTTTTCATGCAACAGATGGAGAAATATGACATTTTTTATCTACTCGATATCGTAATTATTTGATTAATTCCTCCTATTCTATGTCATAAAACATCTCTTCTCCATTCGAACTTGCTCTTATTTTATCAAATTAAGATGGCAATGACGTTTGATTTTGACTTTAGCCCAAAAAGGCATCAGCAGGCACTTTTACGTCATGATATCTTAAGAATAATTTGTATCCCTTGACAGTAATAATATACTTTCCAACTAGAGTCATCTATATACTTTTTTCAAACTTTATTTTTCACTTAATATTAAGGCTGCTTTAATGGCCGCCATGTTTAAACTGTGATTGGTTGATTTTTAAAAACTTGATTTAAGGTCTTTAAAAAAATGGCACATCAGAATTGGCTCAAATTTGGCATAAACATTATTTGATCGATTATCTACAATTCCTTATTTTGGTTTTTCGATATTCAGCCTTATTTTTTAAATTCAAAAATCATGTTCGCAACCACCAAAACAATTAAATGTGTTGGTGGTTGCATATTTGCATGTTTATCAAGCTTGGATCCGCTAAAAGCATATTTTATTGATAACCACGAAAAACTAAAAAAAAGCTAATTGTAGAGATTGTAGATAATATATCAAATAATGTTTTTCTACAAACGTGTTAAAAATGCAATTTTTAACACCGCCCCGAAGCATTAAAAATGTTACTTTATCGCACTAGTGCCATAAAGTCTTTATAGCACTAGTGTTAAAAGTGAAACATCAAATTTTGAGAGCGGACGTCAAAAAAAGTTTGTATTTTCAGTTATTTACATTGATAATAATGGTGAAATTTGAACAACTGAGGTAGCCCGATTGGCCGCCTCATCTATATTTTTCGAAGGATCGATGCAACTCTCTTTTTCTTCTGTATTTTGTTGCATTTTTAGCAAAAAGCATTCCTGACCACGACATACTTTCAAGAAACTGACAAGACATTTCGTTACCTGTAAAACAAGGTGCTGGTTGTATGGATTTTTTGACAAATGTCAAATTCAAGAATTTTATGTAGGAAAGATGCTTCCAATTTATTATTCATTTAAAAATCCAATTTGTTAGTGGTTATTGCTTTTTATTGCCGTTTGTAGAAAAAATATTGTATGATATTTGTGTTAAAAGTATTTTTAAGGCACTTATGTGAATTGCAGAATTCGCTTCGCTCATTCTGCAAACTTTCACATGCGTGCCTTAAAAATGTACTTTTAACACTTATATCATAAATAACTATTATGCCAAAGGATTTTGGAAATTATTGCGGATTTTTTGAGATGACCTTAAAACGAATTTTGAAGGTGAAAACAGTTCAAGTAATTTCAAGTAGATGGCGCCACGGCAAAAAAGCTACGGGAGAATCATAATTGTATGTTGTCTTTCTCTGTCACTAAGTGTTTCACCGACAAACAGATTTTGTTTTGGACAAAAAATAAAATATTGAACCGTATGTGTAGAGTGACGCAGTCATCATTTTCAAAAACTAAATTTAAACATGGCAGCCATTAACGCGGCCTTAACACGAAATGTCGGGAAATTTATATTAAAATCAACATTGATTTTGCTGGAATTTATCTAGAAATAAATAGCTCGAGAGCCTTCCTCTTCAATATCCGTATTCGCTCCTTTAAAATTAA